ACCTCAATCTTGAGTCAATAACTATTAAAACAGACACCCCACTTATTTCAACCGTTTTGAATATACCAATAGGGTTAATTCTATGGGCTACCGTCTGGCAAAAGCAATCTAATGGAAAATTTACACAGGTTAAAATGGAAACCGTTTTTAGTACAATTGACTTAAAAAGGTTGTCCTACACCCACTTCAATGGAACTTATACTACCACTGGTGGAAGTACAGCTTGCTATGTTTTCAAGGGTAATAGTATGTTCTACCTGGGAAACATAGCAGGAATGGTTGATAATACGTTAGCCTGGTGTATTATAGTTAAACCAGAACACTCAATGCCAACTGGTACTAGCATGGATATGTCCTTCTGCTGGTTACTTCGATATTCAGGGTCTGGTAGTTAACATGTGTTGTACTATAAGGTATCATGTCAAAGTGGAGGTCATGTTTCTTCTGCTTGGGTAAGATTTGTGGTTGTCGTAAGAGGTCTAATAGGAATAGGAAGGCTGGTGATATAAATTTCTCTGTATCCAATAATATTAACGTTGGAGTAACCACACAGGGTAAAAAAGATGACTTAAACAGTGTATCCGAACCAGGAAGTTACGGTCCCTTGTGTACCCTCAGGGGTGAAATAAAAGATGTTGAATAGGCTTTGGAATGGAGAAGTTGAATAAGATTGGTGGAGTTGAAATTTGAAGATTTGAGAGAAGTAAATCGTTTTAGTTTAGGAAAAAAATCTAGCGCTTAAAAAACCAATATGGTCTAGAAAATAAAATCATGATTAAAAAATTCAGATTGAGCCAGACGGATTTCGGTTCACGGGAAAACCGTCGAAAGTAGAAGTGGTCTAGACACGCTAGTTCCTATACTACTCCGATTGTAGACTGCCTTGCGTCCTCGGACAGTAGCAGGTATGACAAAAATTGCGAGACATGGCGACAAGATAAACAACAAGATCAAAAGATCGGTAATGCGTCACAAGACGAAAGACAAGAAACAAGATTCAATAACAACAGAGAATTATGCCAACAACAACATCAAAATAGGGAATCGGTTAATGACGGGCTTACTAAGTCCAGCCATACTGTCAAAACCACGGTATTAATTGGCGACTCTATGATAAAACAAATTGATTGTAAAAGATTACAACGGGCAGTTAACGGGCGGCACTCTCGTGGATCGAGAATTAGGAACGAAACTTATCGGGAAGCCAAAGTTGATGCAATGAAACACTATTTAAAGCCGTGCTTGCAACAAAACCGGACAGAATAATATTACATGTTGGGACGAATGACATTGGTACCAAGGCAATAATACAGGGGCGGATTCAGCGTCTTAATCTGACCGTAGCATTTTGGATGAAATCAGCATGCGGGGCCGAAGGCCACGCCCTACCTAGGGGGGTTTGGGGGCATGCCCCCCCAGAAAATTTTTGAAATTTGAAGCCCGCAAGTACCATTTCCTGCATTCTGAGCATCGAAATTAGATT